TATATATAACAATTTACAGAAACGGAAAATAACATACATATTACATATTACATACCCTAGGGGGACGAGCACCCATTTCTTGAAAAGCACGAGGATTTTGTAAAAATGCCACAACTTCATTTATTTCTTCCTTCATGAACTCGACACTTGCAAAGTCTTTCAAACGTATAGGAGGATTTTTCACTCTCTACATAACAAGAAAGAAAGTGTCATGTCATGTGAATAAATAAGAGAAAAGAAAGTATCATCATCATCATGTGTTTTGGGTTCAAGTATCAACCTTCAGCTGGTCAAAAGCATGGGTGATAGGGTCAACACCTTCCTTCTTTTTAGCTTTTGCTCTCTGCAATCTAGCCCGGAAAAAGTATTTCTGCATAGCAACATAAAGATCATGAATATGTGATCTTGAATAAGACATTTTAAAAAGTATGTGGTTAAATGTAGAGAAACTTCTAGAAGAAAGAATCATACCAGCCTTCGTAGCTTCTGCATGTTCACATTTTTGCGTTTTGGCCAAAACCCAATCTTGGGTGTTTTTCTTTTTATAAATCGGAATATTTGGTATAAAATATATCCATATATAAAAGTCCTAACTGCAAACAAAAAACACCAATTGAACTCCCCTCCTTCGTTTAGGGATTTAACTTCCCGCTCTGCCTTTATCTTCCGATTCAGAAACTTTTTCATGGCTGTATACCTACTTAAATCCAACCATGTCTCTTCCAATTGTATGAAAAAGCAGAGCATTAAATAAACTTAATTAACAGTAACACCATATTATATAAATTCATGCAAGATGTTATAACTTATAAGGATTACCTGGTAAGGAATTACAAAATCCAGAATAGGAAATACGATTATAGCCATAATCTTTTTGGTCATGTTATGGACCCAGTGAATGATCATGTTAACAGCGGATAAATCTCTAAGATTAAATTTTCCTAACCAAATTAATAGCTGGCGAGAGAGACGTATTGGAAAGAGGAATTGTTGGCGGATATCTAACTCTGGAAAAGGGATCCACATCAACTGAATATCAGTTGGAACATTTGAGGCAAGCATCTTTAGATACAACCCATCAACTCCTCCAAAATCATCAAACATCATGTCAAATTCCTGACATAAAAAATTTGAATTAGAATCTTGAAATGTCAGATTCTACAATGATGTATGATCAAGATATATAGAGAAAAAAGAATAACCTTCAAATTGACATAAAACTCCTTGTCGTCTCCCTTTAGTGTTAAATACATTGCAGCCCAATCATGTCTGATTCTTGCATTTTCTACTAGTTTTCTGGACACAGCATATGGGATAGCTATAGGTTGAATTTCCCACCTTTTTCTTTCTTCATTATACCAAGTTCTTGATGACACTCTATCATGATCCAAAAGGATTCTTTCCTACAATTTTGATAGTAAAGATCTATAAATCAAAATACTACGTGCAAATATGAAATATGAATATTCTTTTAGGAAATCTTACCTGTTTCTGAGCAACATATTCTTTACCAAATTCAGCATCTTCCAACAGTTTTGTTTTAATATCTGTTTCTGATCCTCAATCTCATCTGTTTCCTATGAAGTCTCCATAAACTCCTTCTCTTTGTAGCTAATAGTCTCATCCAACTCTGCCAGCACATGCTCCTTGGTCGTCTTTTTCCCACTTCTTTCCAGAACCCTATCTTTCTCTCTCTCTTAGACTTCATCATGGAATCAAGAATGTCCCCGGACTTTCTATCCAATTCCATTTTCTTTCCCCTCAAAACACTTAACTCTGCATAAAGTCGAGTCATAATCTCATATTGCAATTCTTTTTTCTTCAATTTCACATCCTTTAATGCCGCTTCCACATTCTTCAAGTCCCCATTGCCTGAACTAACTTCCTCTATAATCCTAACTAGCCTAGAAACAGTCTCAAGTAACCTCCTTGTATAATCAGAAAACTCATGATCTTTCCAGTTGTTCACTCCTTGCTTACTTTTGCTTTTCCTCGTCTCCAACGCCTCACTATTCACTGGGGCGGCAATTGCAGGTGCTTGGTGAAACCCTCGACTTGGACATAACTCAATTACGATCCAGAAAATCGTAAAAACAATCGGCTTTGAAGAAGGTAGAAAATGAAGGGAGATCTAGAGGAGAGAGTTGAGAGAAAACGAGAGAAACCTCGTACGTACTGTGTTGAGAGAAAACGAGAGAAACGGAAGCTTGTAGATCTCCCTAGAACGTGCTAGAGAGAAGGGAGGTGGTGATGGCTTAGGATTTACAGAGAGACAGGAGGTAGAGAATGAAGGGAGATCTAGAGGAGAGAGTATCAGAGAAGGAGAGTCGATTGCGAAGATAAAAGATAGAAAGAAGGTAGAAAGAACGAGGCAACGTTTCATTAAAATTATAAAGCGACAAGTACAGATGACGCGCGTTTAAGATAAAGCGCCCTCCATGTTTTTAATTTTTTTTCTTGAGACACTAATCTAAGGGCACGCAATAATGCGTGACGTAAATCATTAAAATTTTTGGAGAGATGACACTATTTTAAGGACACTCTCTTTTGCGTAACATAAATTGGTGCGTGACGTAAATTGCGTGTCATTAAAGGCATATATTCTAGTAGTGATTTGTCATTAATCCGAGAGTATGGATTAGACATAGTCAGTTTTCCCTAGTCCTAGAGTATGAAATGGACATATTTATTGATCCGAGAGCATGGATGAGACATACCGAATCCGAGAGTATGGATTAGGTAAGAGGTTAATGTTTGATTCGAAAGTATAGATCGTGTCGTCGTGAGGATCGATGGGGTGGGGTAAAATTGTTTATATGAGGTGAAATTATATATATTGTGAGTTCTAAAACATATATATTATATAACATTGTGGGATTGTAATCCCTATGTACCCACCAGGTTTCTCAACCTGACCCACTCAGTTTATTTGAATCACAGGTGTCGATACGTAGCTACATTACACTGAGAGATTAAAGGGGATGAAAATCACTAGTGTAAATGAATGTAAGGTCTGTTTATGCTTATGTTTCTGTATTGACGATGACATCTCAAAGTTTTAATATAAACAAAATATATTTCTTCAGAAATGCTTTGATAAAATATTTATCATGTTTTCTGGGAGCAAATTCTGGAATATTATTCTTAAAATGAATACTCTGATTTACAAATAAGCATAAATAAATTTTTTTAAATGACCATGAATTTGGGGTTGTCACAGTTGGTATCAGAGCATTAGTTTAAGCGAACTAGGAATAAGGATTTATTTCTAGACCTATACTTAGAATGCTAAGCGATGATCGTGAGGAGTGTGTCTAATATACTTTAGGAAGTACACCTGAATAGACACAAGCACTAGCTTAATTAGGGAAGATGCCTAAAATGATTTTATGTCCTAAATGCTTGGTGATGCTTTATGATGCCATTATTTGATTGGATCTATGGTCTGTTGCCGACCGAATTTGGAAGCTTTATGTGTTCAGATTTCTAAACGTTTAATTACGGTACTAGAACTGGCATGTAACTTTTCGGAGTGATAATGAGATTTATACGTCTATCATAAATTTATCTTCCCTTATCTAAATTCTCGTCACTGCACACCGAACGTCTGATTTGGTGTATAGATCGACATGGCGGGAACTCGAAGAGGATTCGGAAACGCTAATGGAAAGGCTATTGCTAATCAGCGGCCTGTGATTGAGCGTGCACCAGAGGTTGCAGCTGCACCCGAGCCAATCACGATGGCAGGATTCCAAGCAATGATTCGGGCTATGATGGCCGAACAAAGGGAGGAGATGAGGCAAATGATTCTTAATAGGTATGAACCTACTGTTCCTGTTGTAACGCCCCGATTCTCAAGTATTAATATTATAACTTTAATTTTCAAGTTTCAAGGTCTACTCGACGAGTTGGATGCCCTGACTCGTCGAGTAGCAGCGGGTTTGGGGCCACGTGTTTAAGTGACCAACTCGTCGAGTTAGTAGAGTGACTCGACGAGTTGGAGCTGGAGGGTGAAACCCTAATTTCCGGGGTTTTGCACCCTTTTTAAGGAATCATTTGCCCCCTTAAGTCTCTTACAGCCTCTAGAGAGCTCTGAAAACCCTAATTCGTGTGTGTGTTCATCTTGTGTGATTTCAAGCTTGGAAGAGTGTGCTAGAAGAAGGAGTGAAGCAAAAGAAGTTTGGATCATTGAAGAGCTGGTGAATCTGAGTCTTCTGTCTCTTGGCATCATTTGGAAGGTAACAAGTCGTTACCTTGCCTTCCTTCCTTTTAGATCTCTTCACATCTAAGAATAGGGCCATTTTTGGGGTTTATGTGAACCATTTTCGGGTATGAGCTATGAATTGGAGTTGCAACTTCAGATATAAGCCTATCTTAACCCTTATAGCTATAAAGTTCCAGATGTAGCAAGTAATAACCTTTCACTTTTGAACAAATGTCATTCCAAGCTTGGATTTATAGTTCTAAGCTTTTAGAGCCTTGCATGCACGTAAAGTCTGCAAATTTACGTGATAATCATGCCTTAGGAGGCTAGATCTAGTGATTGGAACACTGGAATGGCTCAAAATCATTTGGACATGGATAAGGTTGCATGGACTCGACGAGTTGGATAATCCGACTCGGCGGGTCGAGTAGGGTTTTCGACTGACTGGTCATGCATGGACTCGGCGGGTCTGGGAGATGACTCGGTGAGTCAGTTAGGGTTTTCCAACACTTGAACACGCATAGACTCGACGAGTTAGTTGGGAACTCGGCGAGTCGAGTCAAATGATTCATGAATCTTTAAAGAACTCGACGAGTGGCAAGTTGTACTCGACGAGTAGGTCAACATGGACTGTTGACCATTGACCATTGACCTTGACTCTAATTAAGGGTTGACCAGTTGACTTCCGAGGGTATTTTAGTGAATTGAGAATTTATGGGATTGGGTCATTGGTGGTTATAGGTGTTGGTGGTTGGAGCTGTATTTGGAAGAGTTAACAGTATCATCCTGAGCTTCTTGCGAGGTGAGTTCTCCTCACTATATCAACAGGGTCTAAGGCACCAATGCCGACCCTTATTGGATTTGTATTCGGGTTTATTGCATGATATGCTTATTGATTTATATCATGGTAGTTAGGATGGTGTTATGCTTAGTGACCTGGTTAGGTCGGTATCCTGGTATATAGGATGATGCTATGTTAGTGACTGGTTAGGTCTGTATCCTGGTTATATGATGTTCCTATGATTGATGATCTGTTAGATCGGTTTGACTGTTATATATGCTAGCGTATGATATTATGTGCACATGTTGTTTGATTGGGGGTTGGGTTGAGGCGGACCTACTTTGTGCTGAAGGCCAATAGACCCAGGGCGGTCTGGATAGACTACATGCCCAGGAGGGCATGTCAGTCAGACCGAAGGCCCGACGAGCGGTCCGGATAGGCTGTAGGCCTTGCGAGGCGGTCCAGACGTGCCGAAGGCTCGAAGAGCGGTCCGGATAGGCTGAAGGCCTACGAGGCGGTCCAGTCAGGCTGAAGGCTCATTATGCATGCTGTTTGCTTATATGTTATTGATATGTTTTATGGCGTTGGTATTTTAGGGGTAACTCACTAAGCCTTCGAGCTTACATTTATCGATTATTGTTTCAGGTACTTCAGATGATCGCAGGAAGGCGAAGGCGTGATCGTACAACTCCTCATATTTCATGATTTTATGATTTGATTATGGGATACTCTGACATTTTACTAATTTGAAAACAAGTTTGTAATAATCATGGGTTTTGAAATGTTTTAAAAAGTTTAAAATTTGGCATGATTTTTATGGGTGTTACACCTGCTGTGCAGCTCAAACTGAATGAAGATATGTCAGAGGAAGGAAATTACAGCTGTACTGTGAGTCAAGTTGGACCCCGAGTGGTCAGGGGGAACAACCCAGACAGAAGGATTGACAGGGATGGGCACATGTATAAGAACTTCTTGGGTGCCAAACCACTAAGTCTTTCTGGAAGCCCAAAGCCAGTGGAAATTATGGACTGTGTCTCCGAGATGGAAATTATATTTGAAAGCTGCAACTGCAGCGATAAGCAAAAGACCAGAGTTTTTAGTTGGTGGAAGTTGTTGGTAGATACAATCCCACAGGGAGAAGCCATGCGGATGTCTTGGGAAGCATTCATGGAGCAGTTGAAAATGGAATATTGCTCAGAAATACATCTGATAGACCTAAACAACGAGTTTCAGAACCTGAAGAAAGGGAAGATGAGTGTTGATGAGTATGCCACCGCATTCACCGAGAGGATGAAGCTATTCCCCTACTTGGTGCCTACTGAACTCTCCAAGATAGATAAGTTTGCTAATGGATTGCCAACGGACTTTGGCCCAACGGTCAAAATGGCAACTACTTTGAAGACAACCATTAGGGCATCTAAGAATGTAGAGACCCAGATAAGAGAAAAGGGTCTAGAAAAAGATAATACGGGAGAAAAGAGGAAGATTGAGGTATCCTCAAGATCTGATAAGAAAGGAAGATTCACGAAGTCCAACTTGGACGACCAAAAGTATGGAAGTAGTAGTAGAGCCAAGTGGTGTGAGAAGCGCAAGAAGAAGCACTTCGGAAGATGTGATGGAGAAGTGACTTACTATAAGTGTGGGAGGACCGGTCACTATTCCAGAGATTATACATTCAACAACAGGAAGTGTTACGAATGTGGAGATGGTGGGCATATTTCGAAGAACTTCCCAAAGAAAAACAAAGCTGCAAGGCAAAATGTTCCGCCGAAGCCAAAGGCAAGAGCATTTAAGATGATCCTTGATGAGCAGGTAACAACCCAAGGGGTTAGGAGTAAGGATCTATAAAGTAGCCATATAGATGATATCATATGGTGTAGCCTATTATAATAGCCATAGTGTAGGGTGAACTTAAACATCTATGTAATCGTTTCGAGAAATAATATAAAGCTTGGTTATGTTATCCGATGTGTTAATTGGCTATGTGAAATTCTTGTATGTTGACTTGGAAAACTGCGAGTCAATACTTGGGACGAGTATGAGTAGGTGTGAATGGCAGTAGAGGCCTATACTACCGGAAGAACATGACTCGCACTTGGATCAGGGAAAGTCACTAGGTTACCAAGGCGCTAGTCATTGATTCTATTTGATTCATGTCTGTCGTTATCATCGTTTCGGTAATAACTAATAAGATGATTGTTATTCCAATCCTAGTGGTCATATCAAATCGAGTCCGACTAAGACAAGTATGTTACGTGGTTCAGAGAACCAAGATCGATGTAGCATCTGACTTAAGCCAGAAGAACGAAATGAAAGATAATCGAAGCGATCAGTAGAAGTATCACGATCGTTGTTAAAGCAATAAGCTTGTAGCTAGAAGTGTTGCATGCTAGAATGT